ACGGGTATAGGTTGTAGCCATGTTGGTCTGGGGACATAGGCAGACAAGGTTCTTTGGGTAAATCTGATATCTTTTACTAGACCAAATCAGATAGTTGGAAAAATTCTTCTTTGCATGCTTTCAGGTATAAATACACTTGATGAGGCTGAGGAAGCACCTGCAGTTGGTTTGTGCTTTTCCTGGATGGAATGAATAGTAAAGAAGCCTCTCCTACCAAACAACAGTTGTACACCAGAAAGAACACACACTGGAAATCTATCGAAGACAAGAATACCTAATTACCTGTGGGAGCACATTTCCCACAAGAAAAGCACTCTCTCTTGCTCATAGTCACAATCTCAGTTCTAATCCTCAAAGGGAATTTATAAAACACCTTTCACAGACAAGTGTATGAACTTCATTTCATCAACCCACTGGATACAAAAAATCATGGACTAAATAGACGTTGGATTTATGGTACATTATAACTGGCCTAACATCTGACTCCCACGTACCTCTCCACTGTTTACCAGCTACATTCATTCTCCTTCCCCGCCACCTTTCTCTTACCCACTGACTCCTCAGTCTACATCTTCACTGACTGGCTTTCTTGCATGCATACCAGCCTTTGGCTGCTTTACTCTTCATTCCATCCAGAAAGAGCACACACCAACTTCAGAAGCTTCCCCAGCCTGATGAAGGGTATTTATACCTGCAAGCTTGCTAAGAAGAATTTTTCCAACTATTTGAGTTGGTCTAATAAAGGATATCAGATTTATCCAAAGAACCTTGTCTACACAAGCTAGAAGAAAGTATCCCATTTGTATGCTCCTCTGGTCTTACAGGTGAGAGTTCTTGTCCACGTTGTTCGTAAGTGTCATTAGTTCAAAGCTAACATTGTGCAGGTTTTTTGGTTGCTTGTTTACAGTTATTTAATCTTCTAAAGCAGCTGCAATGTTCTTGGGGTGCTGGTGGAGTTGGCTGATGTGACTGCAGAGCTGCTGGCCATTATCTTTGAAAACTTGTGGTGATCAGGGGAGGTCCTAGATGACTGGAAAAGGGCAAATATAGAGCCCATCTTTAAGAAAGTGAAGGAGGAGGATCTGGGGTACTACAGACCGGTCAGCCTTGCCTCAGTCCCTGGAAAAATCATGGATCAGGTCCTCAAGTCATCCATTTCTAGGCATTTGGACAGGAAGGTGATTAGGACAAGTCACCATGGATTCACCAAGGGCAAGTCATACCTGACCAACCTGATTGCCTTCTATGATGAGATGACTAGCTCTGTAGATGTTGGGAGAGCAATGCACATGATATACCTTGACTTTAACAAGGCTGTTGATATGGTCTCCCACAATATTCTTGCAAGCAGGCTGAGGAAGTATGAGTTTCATGAATGGACTGTAAGGTGGATAGAAAACTGGCTGGATCATCAGGCTCAGAGGGTAATAGTCAATGGTACAGTGTCTAGTTGGCAGCTAAGTGGAGTGTCCCAGAGGTTAGTCTTGGGGCCAGCTTCATTCAATGTCTTCATCAGTGACCGGGAAGATGGGATGGAGTGCACCCTCAGCAAGTCTGCAGATGACACCGCACTTCAAGAGGGATGTGGATAACCTGGAGAGGGTCCAGAGAAGGGCCACTCATATGGTTAAGGGCTTGCAGGCCAAGCCCTATGAGGAGAGACTAGGACACCTGGACCTCTTCAGCCTCCACAAGAGAAGGTTGAGAGGCGACCTTGTGGCTGCCTATAAGTTCATCATGGGGGCACAGAAGGGAAATGATGAGGTTTTACTCACCAAGGCGCCCCTGGGGGTTACAAGCTAGCCATAAGCTAGCAGAGAGCAGATTTAGACTAGACATTAGGAAGAACTTCTTCACAGTTCGAGTGGCCAAGGTCTGGAACGGGCTCCCAAGGGAGGTGGTGCTCTCCCCTACCCTGGGGGTCTTCAAGAGGAGGTTAGATAAGCATCTAGCTGGAGTCATCTAAACCCAGCACT